GGGATACCCAAAACACTGAAAGCGTTATGCACCACAGACTGGGGCAAGTGAAATCACCCATAATTCTGCTGAAAAACCATTTCTCCTCTTACGAAGCTTTGTCTCAGTAAATTAAAACTTTCTTAATCTTGATATAAACACATAAAGTTGCTGAAAATAGTTGCAATTTATAACAGACTGTCTGATCCGAGTCCGCAGTTATAACGACATAGGAAACACATTTACGCGCCAAAGTTCCTTGTATGAACATGCGCTTGGCGCCCATCGATAACCCTTGAAATGCACGTCATTTTAAACAAAGCTAAACAAGAAAGCCGCATTCTAAACCTCGGATAGTTCGGCGATTGAATAAAATCAATATGCGAGCGAACACACTGAGATACGGCCGTCACGCAATACGCAGGTCTCAAGCTATGACTGACCTCTGTGTACGGTTGCTTGTCTGAAATAAACTTTGTCTTAGACTTATTTATTTGTCACTCTTTTCTTGACCATCCCTCCCATTAGATTTTGCCATTAAAACAGTTTTTCTTCGAAGACATCTATAAAAAAAATGCAAATAAAGTAGCCAGGACTAAGTCGTTTGATCTTTGAACACCGGGAAAGTGGGATACCCAAATCCCTAGTGATATGGGTATCCCCTTCCAATATGTGTGGTTGTTATCGTTTCTTTAATTCAGGGCAGCCAAATCGACCGAAGATAAGAGGGCAAAGCTAACTTACAAAGACGAAAGTCATTCCAATGAGGAAAGGACTTGGAAATGCTAAAATGTAAGGGATACCCAAATCCCTAGTGATATGGTTATCCCTCTCTAGAGTGTTTGTTTGTTATCGTTTCTTTAGTTCAAGGTAGCCAAATTGACCGAGGATTAAAAGGCAAAGCAAACCTTTTTACCAAATAACAACCAAATATATTGGAAGGGGATTACCCATATCACTAGGGATTTGGGTATCCCCAACGTTTTGGCATTTCTATAGCTGCTTCTAGTCCTTTCCTCATTGGAATAAGTTTCGTCTTCGTAAGTTTGTTTTTCCCTTTAATCTTTGGTCGATTTGGCTACCCTGAATTAAAGAAACAACAACCAAACATATTGGAAGGGGATACCCATATCACTAGGGATTTGGGTATCCCCAACATTTTGGCATTTCTGGTTCTTTCCTCATTGAAATAACTTTCGTCTTTGTAAGTTTGCTTTTCCTTTTAACCTTCGGTCCATTTGGCTACCCTGAATTAAAGAAACGAGGACAAATAAACTCTCTGGAAGGGGATACCCACATCACTAGGGTTTTGGGTATTCCCTACAGTTTGGCACTGACCCGGGGACACTGATTTCTATAGTCCTTTCCTCCCTTGAAATTGCCTTTTCTCTAGGTACGTTTGCTTTGCGTTTTTATCTTCGGTTGATTTGGCTACCCTGAATTAAAGAAATGATTACAAGCCAACACTTCGGGAGGGATACCCATATCACTAGGGATTTGGGTATCCTACTTGATCTATTTGTTTCCAAAGATTAGCCTTGTCTACTTTATTTAGAATTAGTTTGATTTTGTCTCCGAAACAAAAACCTTCTTTAATGGCAAAGAGAATTGTTCGCCGGCAAAATTTACAAGGAGGGATGGTCAAGGAAAGAGCGACACACAAGACTAAGACAAAGTTTATTTCTGACTGGCAACATACACAGAGGTCAGTCACAGCTTGAGACCTGCATATTGCGAGACGGCCGCATCTCAGTGTGTTCGTTCGCATATTGATTAAATTCAATCACCGCACTGTCCGAGGTTTAAAAAGCGCCTTTCTCGTTTAAAATGACGTATATTTCAAGGGTTATCGATAGGCACCAAGCGCATGTTTGTACAAGGATCTTTAGCGCGTGAATCCGGTTTTGTATGTCGTTATAACTGCGGACTCGGGTAAGACAGTCTGTTAGGAATTGCGACTATTTTAAGAGACCTATTGTGTTTATATCAAGCAAAAGAATGCTTTAATTTACTGAGACAAAGCTTCGTAAGAAAATAAATGGGTTTTGAGCAGAATTGTGGATGATTTCACTTGCCCCAGTTTTACGCTTTCAGTGTTTTGGGTACCCAAAACACTAGGGATTTGGGTACGGGGGTACCCAAAACACGGGGATACCCAAAACACGGGGATACCCAAAACACGGGGATACCCAAATCACTGTGACACCGGCCGGTTGCCGTGGCGCAGTGGTAATGGGTGTCGCTTGCCATGCCGGTGATCCGGGTTCGATTCCTCTTGGGGTCGCCTATCATAAAGTTCTTGTTACATCGTTTTACTCTTTAAAATAAAAAATTAAGTCTCACTGCCGGACACAGAGTATTTTAAAAAACCCGTCCGGCTACCGGACATGTAGCCACAGCGAAAAGCAGAATGTCAGACAAACTATTTACCGAAATAATTCGTCGAACGGATGGCGAATAAATCCTGAGCGTTACTCTGAATCAAATAAACAACACTCGAATTCATTCCAGAAAATAACTCGGGTCTTGCTGAGCTTTAACAATTGTACGATTCAATCACAACAAATCCACGATGTCTACGCCTCAAAAAGCAGAATAGTAGGCAAATAGTTCCGCACCCAGGAGAGCTGAACAAGTAAGTCTCGTAACGTCACAAAGAAAAATAGTGTTCTGATTGGTTCGTGTGATATATCGACAACATCGACTACATCCTAATCTGGCCAAAAACATAAAACTGACGGAACCGGATTACGCGAAAATCGAGCTGAAAGATCATATTATGAGATTTTTTTCTGCATAGCCATCAAACTACGCACGGCTCTATATCCTGCCGCCTCGACAGGATCGCGTTTTCGCTCGCCTGTCTCGTTGGCAATAATGCCCAGGAATTCACGGTTTTGATTACAAACCACGGTTTGGATTGCAAACCTGTAATGAGTTTTATACAACTGAAAGACAATAATGGGCAGATATGCGTTGGTGCTGGTGGTACGTGCTACTGTAAGAAAACATCCCGCGTAGCTTGAGCGACAAAGGATATCAGTTTGCCCAACAAACAAGCAGAAAAGGAACAACGTGTCCAGTGACAGCCGAGCATACTTCAACGTTTACATCACTTCCACGTCAGTCACAGCGGAGGTAGCCGATCGTTATAAAAATAGCCAACAACGAGACGATCGAGACACTTTAACGGCAAGTGAAGGTTGAATCTTCCGACGGGCCTCTGACTGCAAACCTGCCTACAAGAAAACTTGATCAGGTCTCGCTATCACTACCAGCAAAATGGTAAATATAATGGCTTAGTCTTTTGCAGGTAAATTTAAATTGACAGTCCCTGTCGCTGATTCATAATTTTCTTAAGCTTTAGGATAACAAGGCTGCGTTGTTGCTTCTGGTTGTATTTTGCACGGCTTTGTTTTTTGTACCCTCCTCGTCAATACGTAAGTCAAACCTGTCTGAGTCTTTTCTGCTCGTCTTTCTGGGCGCTGAACATGTTTAATTAGATTTGTAACAATTAGTATCATGTTCATATGAAGGATTTCAGTGAAGAAAAGAAAAACTGACTAAAATGCCCAGCTGTTTAAGGCAGCGTTAGACCGCTTATTAACTGGCTGAACGAAAGAATCTAAGCTATAAACTTTTACGTTTATGATTTGGCTTTGAAGTTCTCTGTAAATGGTATAAAGGTATTCTTGGTTGAATCTGGGGCACAGATACAAATCAGACTTGCTTCAATGGATCTCATTGTTTTGTCTCGAGAGCCAATCCTGAAAAATAGCCTTTTTTGAGCGTGCTAGCTCACTCATGATTTCGTACAAGCTGTCCAGGCTGAAGACGTCGTCGTTCATATATAACTAGGGAGCTTACGAATCGACGACTTTTGCACGACGCCGCCGTTAGATTGCGTGACATGCTCACTGCGCATGCGTTTCTGAGCACTTCC